TGTGTGTGTGTGTGTGTGTGTGTGTGTGTGTGTGTGTGTGTGTGTGTGTTGCATGTCCCTGTGTGGTATATGCACATGATGCCCACAGAGGCCAGAGTTCCAGATGGTCATGAGCCACCCACTGTAGGTACTAGGAACCAAGCTCAGGTCCTCTGTAAGAGTAGTATGTGCCCTTAACCACTCTCCAGCCGTCCACTTTTCTACCTTTTGAGACAGGGTCTCATTTATTCCAGGCTGGCCTCAAACTCAGTAGAGCTGAGGCAGGCCTTGAACTAATGGTCCTGTCCCTGACTCCCAGGATCTGAGATCCCAGGCATGCGTCATTATGTCCAGTTAGATCCCATGATCACTAGTAAATATGCAGATTCGGACAGCCACCACCACATCACAGTGCCCGCTCACAACAGTTCCAGATCTCTAGGCCGGTCCCTTGCTCCTAGTTCCAGCCTTGTGCCCACTCAAGTCTCTAATTCATTTCCTGCCTTTATACATCTGGCTCTTGAACATTTCATGCGTGGAGTCATATCCTGTGTGGTACGTTGCTTGCTTCCCAGTGGACATCGGCCTCAGCCTCCGTACTGATCAGCGGCATCCTGTCGCCCATAGGCTGCACGTGATGGCCTCGCAGGCAGCATCGCAGCATCCTGTGGTCAATGAGTTTAAACTTTTAAAGACAGTTGAAGTGTTCAAACTTCCAAAGAAGCTACTGGGCCTGTGCAGTAGCTCACCATGTAAAGTGGTTGCTGCCAAAGCTGAGGGCCAAGGGTCGATCCTCAGGACCCCATGGAGGAAGGGAGAAGTGACGCCCATACGTTGTCCCCGATTGTATGTCTGGGCTCTGTACACACGCGCACTTGAGTTCATGTGTGCACACACAAGAAAAGGGAGGGAGGGAGGGAGGGAGGAAGATAGATAGATAGATAGGTAGATAGATAGATAGGTAGATAGATAGGTAGATAGATAGGCAGGCAGATAGGCAGATAGACAGATAGATGATAAAATAAGCTACCACCTTCCCAAGTGGCAGGACCCTTTTGCAGTCCCCAGCACAGTATACCGGGCTATAGCCATACTGTGTGGGAACAGTGCTATTGTTTAGCAGTTACAACTGCTCTCGCTCTCTCTCCCCTCTGGCTGTCCCAGAACTCACTCTGTAGACCAGGCTGTCCTTGAACTCATAGATCTGCTTGCCTCTGCTACCAAGGGCTGGGATTAAAGGTGTGTGCCACCAATGCCCTGCTAACTTTTCATTGCTTACCAGTCATTTGCACAACTTGGTTAGAGAGATGCCCAGTCCCATGCCCACCCATTTTTTTTTTTTTTTAAGTAGGCTGTTGGGTTTCTTATTTTTTGCATTCTGGCTACAAGTCTTAATCAGATTTTTAAATTTTTTTTTTCTCAGTCAGATACATCGGTGCACATCTTTTAATGCCAGCACTCAGTAGTCAGAGGCAGATAGATGTCTTCATTCAAGGGCCGCCTGGTCTACAGTGTGAATTCAAAGGCATCCAGGGCTACACAGTGAGATCTTGCCTCAAAAACAAAAACACAAACAAAAAACCAAAAACATAAAAACGAAAAACCGCACAATACATTTTTTTCCTTTCGGTCCAGCTTCTTTTGGTTTTCTTTAAACATTTGAAGGATTTATTTACTTGTTTGTTTGTTTGTTTGTTTGTTTGTTGTGTGTGGTGTTTTGCCTTCCTGTCTGTACGCTTGATGTCTGTAGTGTACAGAAGAGGGCATGGCAGCCTCGGGAACTGGGGTTACACACGGCTATGAGAGGCCTCGAGGGCACTGGGAACCAAGCTCCAGTCCTAACTGCTGAGCCTCTCTCCAGCCCACTTTCCCTGTAATTGTTCATTTTTAATGCTTCTTTTATAGATTTTAAATCGTAAATTTTGACAAAGTTAAACTTACTCTTCAGTGGGTCATAGTCTTGGTTCTATATCTAAGAATTTCCTGCCTAACTGAAGTCTACATAGACTATTTTCTAATAGAAGTTCTATGCTAAAACATAAAAGAAGTTCTATACTATTTTAGCTTTCATATTTAGGGAGGTATTCCATTTTGAAGTAACTTTCGGATAAGACCGATGTGTGGTCCATTCCCCCAGCCATGACAATTGGAAAGACTATCATTTCTCCATTTCTCCATCAAGGAACCTCCTTGGTTCCTTGATCAATATCTACTATCCCCAAGTCAAGATTTCTGTCTAGTCTCTCAGTTCTGCCCACTGATCTGTGTGACCGCTTTCATCAGGCAAATCTCATCTGTGCCAGTCCATGCCACCTTCACCGTAGCCTTCAGTATGCCTCGAAACCAGGGCACCCTCTAGCCTTGGTCTTTTTCAAAGCTACTTGGCTCTTTGAGGTCCTTTACATTTCCTTATAAATTCAGAATTAGCTTGTTAGTTTCTCCAACAAAAAAAGCCTCTTGGGCTTCTGATGGGGTCACAGTGAGTCTTCAAGAGACAATAACATCTCTTAGCACTGAGCCTGTCGTTCATAGACACAAAACTGTTTAACACTTTGATTTCTCTCATCAATGTGTATTTTCCATGCACAAACCTTACAATGTTTTTTAAATCTGTTGGTAAACTATTATTTCCCATGGGATATTTGATTATAATTATTTAATATTAATAATTACTGATTTTATTATATATTTTGGAGGTGTTTAGGGGAGCCAGGGGGGTGAGCACGGCGTCATGTAACGCAGGCTATCCTCACATTCCGGATGTAACTGAAGGTGACCTTGAACTCCTGAAACCCTCCATTCTCTACTCCTGGAACTGCAGTCACGGTGTGCGCCACCACACCCTTTCCCAAGACGGTGGGGGAAGAATTTCACATTTTTGGCTCTTGTGTTTGGTCCATGACCTGTTTGAAGTTAATCTCTGTGGAATGGGGTCTTTGGATGTGGCTGTCAAGTGTCCCAGCACCCACTGGGGAAAGGCTTGTCTTTCTCCAGTGAATTATCTTAGGATTTCATTTGCTGCAATTTTTAAAATACTTTTCCTCTCTGTTTATAAACGACATTGGTCTGCGGTTTTCTTTTCTCCTCCCACTTCCTACCCTCTGTGTCTTGGAAGAATTTGTGTTAGATTTTGAAGTATTTCATTTTAAACTCAGGGCTTCACCCATGCTAAGTAATTATTCTACCTCCCGAGTGGTATCCCCAGACCTTTGGCTTGGGTTGTTTGGTCTGGTTTAGTTTGGGGCGGGGGGGGACTTGTTTTGTTTTGTTCTGGTTTGGTTTGGTTTTTTTAAGACAAGGTTTCTCTGTGTAACAGCCCTGGCTGTCCTGGAACTCACCTCGTAGACCAGGCTGGCCTCAAATTCACAGAGATCCATCTGCCTCTGCCTCCTGAGTGCTGGGATTAAAGGTGTGCACCACCACGCCCAGCTGATCATATATTCTTTACTTGAATTATTTATTCTCATATTTTTTTCTGAAGATGTTTTAGGACTTCCTATTTACATAGATTCATGTTATCTGCAAATAAATTTTACATCTTCATTTTCAGTCTCAATGTAGTGTTTTCCTCTCAGTTGCTTTATTTCACATTTTCCATAAGAAGTGAGATATGAAAAAAAAAAAAAAAGTGAGCTATGTTCTAGGTGCTCCATGTTGTCTCTAACACTTGGTATTCTCTTTCTCTCTCACGGGAGTTTGGCTTGTATTTCCCTGAAAGCTAATGACGCCAAACACCCTTTTCACGTGCTTCTTCACTGTGTGTGTTTCTGCCATAGAGAACCGTCTCTTCAGGGCCCCTGTTTATTTTTAAAATGGGATAGTCTTAGGTGGACATAGTGGCACACACCTTTAATTCTAGCACTTGAGAGGCAGAGACAGATGGATCTTTGTGAGTTCAAGGTCAGTCTGGTCTACACAGTAAGCTCCAGGGCAGCCAAGGCTACATAGTAAGGTCCTATCTTAGAAAAAAAAAAGTGGGGGGAGCTAATAAAGGTTTTCCATATAGTCTAGAGGCAGGTGCCGTAGCTACCACGTTTTTTAAGTTTTTCATGTTGTGGCCGATCTTGCAGTTTCTCAGAATTCAAGGGTCCATGTTTCCATGTTGATGAAATCCACTTCAAAGCCCCAAAGCCGCAAAAGCTAAGATTCTAGTGCTTCACTGGCCATATCTTAGGACTTTGCCTAAGCAGGGCATCTTAGTCACTGTCCTGTTGCTGTGAAGAGACACCCTGACCACAGCAGCTCTTACAAAGGCAAACATTTAGTTGGGACTGGCTTACAGTTTAGAGGTTCAGCTCATTAACTGTAAGGGAGCATGTCAGCATGCAGGCAGACATGGTGCCGGCGAGTACCTGAGAGTTTTACGTCCCAATCTGCAAGCAGCAGGCAGAGACAGAGCCATTGGGCCTGGCTTGAGCATTTGAAACTCCAAACCCCATCCCCAGTGACTTGCTTCCTTCAACAAATCCACACTTCCTAAGCACTCAGATATGGGCATATGAGCCTATGGAGCTGTTCTTATTCAATACCCCCACACAGGGTTGTAGAGCTCTTTTTAAAACTCTACTTCATTTGAGGTGTTTAGGCCTCAACCTCCCTTCCAACCTCCCAACCCTTAATGGGAAAGAGAAAAGGTTGGTGGGGAGAGGAGTCCCAGACTCCGTTACTTCTCCCTGCTAGTTAGGGTCACAGGGTTCTTCAAGGGCTCTGTACAATCTCCATCAACTGCAAGCGCAGCCAGCAGGCTCCTCCACACCACTGAGCCCCGAAGCGTCTGTCTGCTCCAAACCGCCACACCACCTGTTTGATCTCTGCAAACTGCCTCACACCACACAACACCTAATGCCACACCTTCTCTTTCTCAGCTCTCATATTTATACTCTCAGAGTCCTAGCCCACGCCCTTCCCCATGCTGCACATAGAAGGCCATTATCAGCTGGCAAAAGCCACCTCCGCACAACTAACAGGTGTGGACAAACTAAAGCTCAACTAAAATTCCTCACTTGGGATTAAAACACAAACATATTTACATAACATACAAGGAAACCAAAACTTCCATTACACAGGGTCATAAAGATTCATAACTGTGTTGTTGTAGCTCAGGCTGGACTCAGACTCCCAAGTGTTGGGTTACAGTTGTGTTTGCTCTTCCCAGGCAGTCCTCATTTATTTTAAAGACTTACTTATACAGCATTCTGCCTGCACACAAGAAGAGGGCATCAGACCTCATTATAGATGGTTGTGAGCCACCATGTGGTTGCTGGGAATTGAACTCAGGGCCTCTGGAAGAGCAGCCAGTGCTCTTAACCTCTGAGCCATCTCTCCAGCCCAGCAGTCCAAAGTTTTGGCTGATATGCTTATTCCATTCACATTTCACATAGTTATTAATATGGCAGACTCACTGCAGTGCTTTGGTTTTTCCCCCATTTGTCCCAGCAGTTTCCTTCATCAGGCTGAGCAGCACAGCAGCACCTTGGCATGCTGAGCGATCTTGCAAAGAAAGCTCTTGCCTCAGTAGTTACTGCTCTTAACTCTCTTCTGGTTTTCCCTTCCTCCTACAGCTCTCCATCTAGTATTGTCTTTCATGGCTGCAGCCTGTGAGGAAGGCTGCCTGTTGATGTCTGGAAATACCAGAATTTGTTTTCCCTTTGAGGGATGCTTTGAGGTGTCCTCCTAAGCTGTAGAATTCTGGTTCTTCCTTAGTGTTGAAAAATTGTTGCTCCAACATCTCCACTTGCACTGTACTTTTTGCATCCATGGATCCAGTTTAGTCACCTTAGGATAATTTTCAGCCATTATTTCTCCCAGTAGTCTCTCTGTCACTCTATTTTGTTTCCCATAAGTGAAATTGCTAGAAACTGCCCCCAGTATTTACAGACTCCCTCCTCTTTTTCCTTTTCTTTCTTTTTCTCTTTCTTTCTCTCTCTCTCTTTCCTGCATTTGATTTTTTTGGATGACTTCTCCAGCTGTATTTTTAGGCTTACAAATCTTTCCTTCTGTATCAGTTAATTTGTTGTAGCTCACATCCAGTGCACTTCTTATCTCATTCATAGTAATTTACAGAATCTGTATATCCCTGGCTGGCCTGGAACTCAGTATGTACATTAGGCTGACCTTGACTTTGTAGCAGATCTTCCTGCCTCTACCTCTTGAGTGCCAGGATTGCAGAAATGAGCCACCATGCTTAGCAGCATTGGAGTTTTCATCTCTTGTTCTTCTTTTCTTATGTGTCTGCTTTCACTGATGAGCATAAGGACATGGTTACAGTACTCAATCCTCTACTCTCGGTTTTGAGACAGGGTGTCAGACTCTGTAGCCGAGGGTGCCACTGAGCTCCTAATGATCCCACCTCCACTGTTCTAAGGGCCAGGATTGCAGCCTCGGTTGTAATCCATTTCATTTGTCACCAATTGTTAATTCTAGAACCTGGGTCAGTTGCAACTAATTTATTTTTCTCCTCATTACCCACCATACTTTTCTGCATTCTTTGCGTGCCTGGTAATCTTTGATTTAATGCCAGACATTGTAAATTTTACTTTGTTGGATGCCAGATATTTTTGTATTCCAATAAATATTCTTGAGCTTTTGTTCTGAAGCAAAGCTAAGTTGTGTGGAAAAGGCTTAATCCTTTTGGCCTTGTTTTCATGACTTGTCATACAGGTCTGAGAGAGAGAGCACCATGAGCAGCTGCTGTTCCCTAGCACCGAAGCAAGGCCCTAAGAGCACCACGCACTCTTGTGTGACTTCTCAGCCTTTCCATCTAGGCTGGTAGAGACCAGCCGTCCCCAGGCTTGTGAGCCCCCGATCCCTTAGCTTCCCTTAGTTCTTTCTTGGCCAGGTGAAGTCGTCGTGTGTGCGCCCCAAGCCGTGCTCTGATGTCCCTGTGCTCTGATGAAGCCAGTGTCACTCCAGAGGCTCTCTTCCCTCCTTCCCTGTATTTTCAGCTGAGAGAGTTTTCTGGGCAGCACCAGGGGGTCTGAGCTGACCCTCTCCACTGCTACCTCAAGTCAGAGAGCCTACTGGGCTCTGCCACTTTGTCTAAGTTTTTCCCCTGCAAGTCTGGTGTCAGGTCCTGGAGTGCAGGACTGTCAACCCATTCCATCACAGCCCTGACCGTCACCGGCACAGCCATCCTGCCTCATCTACAGCACTCCAGTGCTCCCCATTTATCAGTGAACACTTGTCTCTGCTGGGTCCTCCACGAGGAGCTGTGTGCCCAGCTCCACCACCTCTGCCTGCCACAGAAGGCCCAGTGGGTCTATGTGCCCAGCTCTACCACCTCTGCCTGCCACATAAGGGCCCAGTGGGCCTGTGGCTCAGAGAAGACAGCTCTGCCTGCTCCTCAGGCCCTGAGCTCTCGAGCCACCTGCCTCTGGGGTTCTAGGCTGGTCAGCATGTGTGTCTTCTCAGAACAAGCTTTCTAGGTATCAGTTGTATGCTCTGTGTCAGTGACTGGGGAGGTGGATGATTGATGCTGAGCCTGTAGCTTTTGGTCACGCTGGTAGATGAGGAGAATGAGCAACTGACCAGCCCAGGCAAGATGTACTTACTGCTTTGACCCTTTAGCTGATGGGGAGGAAACCCTCCCAGAGCTGAAGAGTGCCCAGGATTCACGGTGAAGGGACAGAGGTGCAAAGCGAAGGGTGAAGCTCGAGGAAGAGACTTTGCCAGGCATTCATCAAAGGAAGGCAAAGCAGGAACCCTCCAAGAGGCTAGCCAAAGGTGAATGTAGTCACAGTCAGTCAGAAACGGGACAGCACAGGTGCTCCACCTTCAGCCCACCTCCACCACCCCTGGCCTGGATCTTTGATTCCTCACACAATGTGTCTCTTGATTTCTTCCTTTGGAAGGTGAGAGTGGCCGGATCTTGAAGATCTCAGCAGGAGTCAGATACGTGCAACTCCCAGCATTCTCAGAGGTCAGCTTCTTCAAGGTGGATGAAGAACACATGGAGACACTCATACAGACACCATTGTAAGGATGCACATCCCCTGTGGGGGCACCTCTGAGGAGATGAGGCTGGAGAGACGTCCCTGTGTCTCTCCTGTCCGCACTTTCCCATAACTGGGAAAATAACTGTAACTGGGTAGGCCTGGGACACGGTGCCAGCCAGCTGGACTTTGAAGGGCAGAGGCAGGTGGACTCAAAGGGAGTGGATGGCTAGAGGCGTTGCATGCCTGGTGGTCAGCAGGCACGGGGAGGGAGCAGGGAAGAACCTGCTGACTGTTCTTCTTTGGCCTTAGCTGGACCCAGCTCAGCAGCATTTGAGGGTGACACACACAATCCTCCAAGTATGACTAAATAGTGTTCCTTAACTAGCCTGAGCCCCAGGGGCAGGGCTAGGACACACACAGTGTGGGCTGCCCTGTCCCTGCCCGCTGCTGCCCCAGCTCCTGCCGCCCACTCATTTGTTTTCCGGCTCCTGCTTCTTTGAGCCACACTGTGGTATTTGCTGTCTCCTTCCTAGTGGGTTCCAGTGCATTTCCTATCCTCTGTCCACCCCTGTGTCCTGGGGACTGGAGCCCAGGTCTACTGTGAAGAATACCAGAGCTGACCTTCTCTCCAGGGGAGACTCAGAGCCAGTGCTAGACTCGGGAGCCTTCCACGGCCAGGAAAACACCCCCAGCGATCGGCCAGGTGAGTGGGCATCGGCAGTCAGAGGTGTGCAAGGTAACAGAGTACCCAGAACCTGAGCAGGAAGGTGACAAGGCTCAGCAGACCTGGGAGAATTGTGAAGCTCGGGGAACTAAGCCCAGGCCTGCGTGCTGCTGGCAGACAGCAGGTGTAACCTCCTTTCCAGGGCCAGAGGGGAGATGGGGCTTCCCATCCTGAGCTGCCACACAAATCCAGCAGCTCTCTCTACATAGCTTTGGCTGTCCTGGGACTCATTAGATAGACCAGGCTGGCCAAAAACTCAACAGAGATGGGCCTGCCTCAGCCTCCTGGGTACTGGGATTAAAGGCATGCGCCACCACTGCCTAGCCTCTTCTGGACTTTTAACAGGAGGGAGAAGGTTCAGTAAAAGGGTTCAGGCAAAGTCACATAACTTGTGCTTAGGACCCTCTGTGGACTCTGACTTGGGACTGACAGCCAGGATCGCCAGCCCCCAGCACTGGGCTCCTCGGTCTCTGGCTCTCACACATAGAATATAGGCTCTGGGTCAGGAGCTCTCAACCTTCTGAATGCTGTGACCGTTTAATACGGTTACTGTTGTGCTGCCCCAACCATAAAATTATTTTCATTATGACTTTATAACTGTAATTTTGTCATTGTTAGGAATCGTAATATGAATATCTGATAAGCAGGATATCTGATATTCAACCCCTGTGAAAGGGTCACTGACCTCAAAGGGATCACAACCCACATGTTGAGAACCACTTCTCTGGGCAAAAAACGAGTGTTAGAAGACTGTAACCACGGGTAACCCAGACCTGAAACCACGGGTAGCTGTGGCATGAAGGCTCATGGTTCTCAGCAGCTTGTATATATACCTAGCCTAGTTAGTGCGGTTGGTTAGTAGATTTTTGAGGGTCTTGCTGTGTAGACTGCCCAGCCATCCTCCTCCTGCCTCAGTTTCTCTAGTACTGGGATTTATGGATGCATGCCACCATCCGTGGCAAAGCCAGGGTCTGGCAGAACATGTCTGGTCATCAGCAGCCTGCCTATCCCACCTGCCTGTTGCTTCACTACAGCTGCCAGTGGAAGCCTTGACCCTCTGTCCTTGCAAACCACACACAGCCCTAAGGAGAGTCCTTTTCTTTGGGGTTGGACGTAGGTGAGACCAAGCAGCTGTCCAGTTAGGTGAGCACGCTGAAGCTCACATAGAAGCATGCACCCTCTCCTGACACAGCTCTCTCACAGGGCCTTCCTGCCCCAGTCTTTCCTCACCTTCTGCCTGTCTCAGCCTTTCAGCCCAGAAACCTTGAAGCTGCCATTAGGCAGGGAAACCCCTCCCTCCCTCCCTGGCCTCTGTCTTCTTCAACTGGCCGAGCCTCTCCACAGGCTAGCACTCCCCACACCCTGACCTCTGTCACTGCTGCCCGTCCTGGCTGCACAGCCTGGAACCCCAGCGTGCTTCACTCATCATCTTGCCAGGTCTCTTCTGAGCCCAGCTTACACTCTTCACAGACTGTCCTGCCTGGTGGTGGTGCCTGAGCTCTTCTGAGCCTCCCAAGCTTCATCCTACGCCTTCTGCGGCCTGTGTGGCCAGGGCCCCCCAGGCACTTAGCAGCGGCTCGTTCTCTCTGCAGTTTTGTGTTTATGTGGCAGAAGAGCGACAAAAAGGACGGTGGTGAGGTGGCAGTTCAGAGTATCAGTAGCCCCGATCTCATCCCCAGAAATCGGCTGGTGGTCAGAGGTCTTTGCCAGGGCAGCAACATTTGTGACAAGAGGAGGATTGTCCAAACAGCCATCTTGAGACAAGCAGCAGAGAGGCGGCAGATCTCCCGTGTAAGCACAAAGGCTGGGTGGGGGCTCAGACTCCTTCCTTACAGAAAGCTGTAAACTCCAGAAGACAACCAGACCCTGTACACAGAGGAACAGAAGCCACGCTGACATGGCCCGGGGGCTGGCGGAGCCAGGGAACCCCAGGAGGCAGCGTGGTCCAGCTCCCCCTTTGTCTGCCTCCACCTCAGCCATAGGAGCAATTTCATGCTGCATCGGCAGAATAGTTCTCATATTTCTGCATAAAAATACTCACTGGGCGCTGCCACGCCTTCTGCTCTGAGAGACTTTCAGAGCCAAGTGCTGCTGTCTCAATGAAAACCAGCCGCAGAATTCAGAGCTCACTCTGTGCTGCCCAACGTGCCAAGCCTGTCTCCTGCAGGCAGCTCCACAGCTGGCTCAGAGTCTGGCCTAAGCCGATGTGCTGGAGACCAGGGGCACAAGCCAGGGGTCCCCAGCACACTCAGTGGTTCACACGGGAGCCAGGCACAGATCCCTCTGGGACCTGTGAGGTGTTCATCACCCTGAGGTCTGAGCACTTAGGAAGCCACAAGGAGCATGGCTCTGCTTTCAGAAGAACCTCGAGGCTTTGAATCTGAAGTCTGATATGACCTTGGTCATGCTAGGTAAATCCACTGAGCTACATCCCCGACCTTGAGCTACTGTTTCCTGTTGGGAGCTCCTCAGGGTCTGACCAGGCCTCTGAACTGTGAGAGCCTGGACTGCCATTTCCCTGTTGTTTCTGACTGGGCCCTGCTTATTCTGTAAAATGAGGTCAACAACCTCCATAGACCACATGCACAACCACCCCCACCCCACCCCCCACCTCAGGAGGGAGGGCAAGGTGAGGGTGGACCCACTTAAATCCAGGCTGATGGGCTGGAGAGATGGCTCAGAGGTTAAGAATACTGACTGCTCTTCCAGAGGTCCTGAGTTCAATTCCCAGCAACCACATGGTGGCTCACAACCATCTATAATGAGATCTGGTGCCCTCTTCCGGTGTGCAGGTGACATAACATATTATACATAATAAATAAATAAATAATTTAAATTAAAATCCAGACTGAATCAAGGCGGCAGAGCAAGGGTCAAGGGTGGCTTTCTGCCTGTTTCTACCTTTCTTAAAACTTTCTTGCCCAACAGTCTCATGGAATGGGTAAATGTCTTTGCTCTGTCTGCCCATCTGTCTTGGCAGGTAAGATGAAGGGCCCCAGGGTAGGCAGTTTTAGGTCCCAGGATCCCACTGGGAGCTGAGCTGTTTGCTGAGCAAGGCCACATGAATTCATGAATTCCCACCCTTCTCCTGGAGTCTGCTGCCATTTGGTGCACATAAAACCCAGATCCCTGGCTGGAAAGTGCAAAGATTCAAGCCAGGAGGAGTCTAAGAGCCCAGAGAGGCAACTCTGCTTTATCAGCCAGAGGCGGACGAAGTGGAGCACACCCTTCTCTCTCATTCCTTCAATGTTACCCTTCTTTTCGGTGATCCTGTTCAGGACAGATTTATTGTACTTCTAATTTTCAAACTGTGACCCAGTTAAACTAGTTCCCTCTATAAACATAACATCAAAGCTGACTTTTCTTCCCAGTTGCTCTCTCGTTAGTCTGCCTTATACCCAGTGACAAAGACCCCTGACTCCTCTGTCCCAGTGATCCCTGCAGTACTTTCAGGAGCTCCAGCCAGCACCTCCAGTTTCCTACTCTGGCCTGGAGGCCTTTGGAGGACAGAGGAGCCCTGTGGCCATGTGCCCCTCTGCCTAGGCACCCGGCAGAGCGCTGAGGCCACTACAGAAGTTTAACTGTCCTGGGCAAGAGCAAGGCCTGAAAAAGAAACCCCAACCAAAGAGTGATGAATGCCCCTTATTCAGGCTTATTGGAAGCCTGACTGTTACAGCTTAGACCAGAACCTGTGTCAAGAACCTGGCTCGGGCTTCTCCCACATCTAGAGCTGCTCCCAGAGCCCTCTCTGGGTCAGCAGGAAGGCATCTGGGAAGGCACGCCTCAGCCTGTGGCAAGGAACTAGAAGGAAGCCCAACACGGAGGAAATGCCGAGCTGAGCCTTCGACTCCAGCCAAAGCAGCCTTAGTGTGTGAGGAAGGTGGACCAGGGGCTACATTCTCAGAGTAGATGTCAGTATTTAAACACAAGCACACAGAAACGCTGATTATCTTGCTCTTGTGCCTAGCATGGTCCCTCTGCTGTCTCACTAGGTCCCTGGTGCCAACATTCTCTCTGCTAGGCAGGTCCTTGCCAAGGGCCTATGAGGCCTTCTCAGGCCCTGTGTCTGAATGCTGTGTGGAAGGACTGACATACAGCTATGTAGCAACAGCTTAGAACTGCTTCCTGTGCTGGGCAGGAAGGAGCCAGGGCTCTGTGGGCAAGGGTGTCCTGATTATATGTTTGGTTGTCTCAGACACTGTCCGCTCACCTCACCAGCCATAGGCTAGGGCAGGGCAGAGACAAGAGCCCAGAGAGCTCATGCTAGTAGCCGTTAGCTCAGCAAAGGGCCTGAGGTGAAGCGGACCGAAAGCTTCCTGTGGAGGCTCTTTAGGTTGATGCTTCTGTGCAGGTGTATGCAGGACACCACCACAAGCTGTGTACATGTCTCTTGCACGCCAGGCACCAAGCACAGGCAGAGACAGGGTGGTTCTCATCCTGCTCGTTGCCTCACTTTCCAGCCGATCCGGATGTACGGGGCTGACCTGTGCTCCTGACAAATACGGCCTCGTTGCAAGCAGTGTGAGATGTGGCTGCTTTTAGCAAATGACACAGTAAGAACTCCAATTCCATTGGCGTTTGCTCCTCCCTTGCACAGTAGCCCAGGGGCAGGTCTGTCACCAGCCATGGGGCCCCTGTTTCTGTTTTATTCCACTTCTGTGTTATGACCCTAAAATGCTGCACATGCTTCAGATGTCATGCTAAAGTTCGCTAGGCAGGAAGGAGAGAATATGAGGGATAGAACTTGGCTACACGGCCATAGACCAGGTCACATGGAGATGAGCACATTGTGCCCATGAAGATTAGGCAGCCTCACCAGCAGAGAAGGGGCAACTGGACACCGATCATCCTTGCCAAGTAGAAGTCCCATCAAGGTGCACTACCATGCTGTTACACAGACAGATATCCGAGAGGGTCCCCAGCACCGCTTTAGGCACTGACCGTGCCTGCACTCTGCATCTGTGACAAAGGCTGTCCCA